AAGGTCATTTCCCTTTTTTTGAAGTGATCTAGGTCACTTTGTATATGATCACGTGATAGATTTCATAGTAAAATCATCATATGATTAGGTCATTTTAAGGTCACTTCAAGGTCATTTGCTAATACTACTTTAAAATATCTAAATAATGCATATATAATAAGCATCTTTATGTTCAATTCAAAGTTGACAAATTTGTATTATAAATTTTACTTGTAAATAATCAGTATATTTAAGGTTTATATTATTTTGAGGATTTTTTGGCTATAATTGAAAATTAATTCATTATTCATGAGGTATTAACATATTATTTAAATAAATTACAGCTATTTAAATGCATAAATCTTTTACTAAAAATTACTTTTGCTAAATGAATAATTGTATTTTAATATTATTTATTAATAGTTAATAAGGAATTCATTAAGTTTTACAGTATTATCTAAGTATTTTTAATAATACTCTTAAAAAATATTATACTTTTCTAGTTGATTAAAATTTAATTTATATAAATCAATATGATTTCTAGATCATCTAAATTTAATGCTCATACTATATATGTATCAATTTCTGCCTTATTTTCATAATTAGTTGCAATGCTATCCTGTGTAAGTATCTTATAAATATTTTGAAAGATATATTTTTTATTATATTTGTATTAAGAAGAATTTAGTAGAATTAATAAATGCATATTTTGTTTTCTAAAGAGATATTGTGATACTAATTTTTTAAGACTGGAAATAAGCTATGATTTATTTATTATTTCTGATTTTGATGCATGTATATTAATCTTCTATATCTAAGTAATATTAAACGTATTGTTATCAGAATTGAAAGAATAATAGCACTTTAAAAGAAATATTTTTTCAAAACTATTAAGATAAATATATCATTTGCTATAATATTAATTGTATATTAATTTTTCATTGAAAATTTTTAATCAACTTTTAATAAATCAATTATTTATATAGAATTATTTAAATAATATAATGATATATCTAATGGAATTTAATCTTTTAATATAATATTTCTTAAATAAATATTATTAGCATTATAAATTATAATTAATTAAACAAGAATTTATTAAATTATTTTACTATTTTATAAGATATTAAATTACTATTATACTTATTCAATAATTTCTTTTCAATATCAGATCTTTTCTTTTTATATTCAGTAGAATCAGCATATTTAAAAAAATATTTAGTAATTCAGAAATACTATATTTTCAATCTTTAAATTTTTTAATATCACACATATTAACATACTAAATTACTTTTATTAAATGTTTAATAAATTCTTATCTAAGACTTTCAGCAATACCTTTTTTTAACTCATATTACATTATTTTTTGAAGATAATTAACAAAATTAAATTTTATACACTCTTTTTCATTACCATTTTCCTTTATACTTGATAAATAATACTAACTTATTTCTTACAATAAAATATTAAGGCATTTTTTTTAGCTAATATTTGCATAGATACATTTTGTAATCAAAACTCAATACATTTACTAAAATATTTTATAATATCAGTAATTAAACAATATAAAACTACTCTATTAGAAATATTATAAATATGTTCTTCTAAAAAAGCTTTAACTTTTAACTCTTGATTTTTTTTAGATAAAATATTCAATTATAAATCATTATAAAATTGTTCAATTATACATTTATCTGTAATACTAAATAGATAAATCATCTATCTATATATTTATTTTTAACATATTTTTATAGAAATATTATTTATGCTCATTTTCAAAAAACACCTGTGAAATCTGCAAAAACTGTAAAAACTGCAGTTATATATATATAATATAGATTGTTAATCTATCACATCCATTATATTTATAAATATATTAAAAGAAATATTATAGATTATCTAATAATCTTAATAGTATATTATAACCTTAATGTTATATTATTATGTCTTATATCATTCAACATGCATTATGATAATGTTAGCATAACTATCAATATAAAATTTAGCAGTTTTAACAAAATCTAAAAAAGAAAATTGAACCTAAAAGAGAAAACATAAATTTATAAAAAAAATAAAAAATAAGAAAAAAATTTAAAAAGCAGCTTATTTTCATTTAGGCAAAGCCTATCAAAAGTTCAAATAAAAGCTAAAGTGAGGTGAATCTAAAAAAAATTAAAAATTAAAAATTAAAAAAGAAAAAGAAAAAGAAAAAGAAAAAGAAAAACAACTAGAATCAAAGTGAACCTAAACTAAAAAATAAGAAAGATAGAAAGGATTCTAAAATGTAAAAAATAGGCAGTATATCTATAGATATTATTTACATATCATAAATTATGATACACATTATAAGTTATATAAGTAGTTACAGTACAGGTAACAGGTTATAGTATTGGTATTGTATGCCTATTTTATTGCATAAAATTTTATTAATTTAGATCAATAAAATTACTTTTTATCTATAAAAAAAAATAAAAAATAAAAAAAATCCAGCCTTTTGGATCAAATCATAAAATTTAAAAAATAAGAAATATAAAATTTAATTTGTTTGGTCTAATAAAAAATTTTTATTATTTAATTTTTAAATTATTTATTATTTAATTTAAATTAAAAAAAAATGATTGTAATATATAATATATATATAAAAATATTTGCTAAAACCTTTTTAAAATAATTTTATTATAATATTATTATGATTTTTGACTTTAACTATTTTGATAATATTTATTATAATTATTTTAATATAATTTTAACTATTATTAAAGAAGCTTATTTCTAATTTGCAAAAAGTTTACATAAATATATTTTTTATTGATTTTTTTTTATATATTAAAAATATAATTTTTTTTTTTTAAAATCTTATTTTCATAAAATTTAATTTTAATTTTAAGATAAATTAAATATTATTTTTATATATTAATAAATTAAAAAAGATTATTATTATAGACAATTACTTTTTAGCTTAAAAATATATATATATAAATATAATAAAAGTTAGTATTATTTTTTTTATAAACTAATAAACCAATCTTTTATTTTATTAATAACAAACAAATGATTTAATGAATAAATTTTATGCTCTTTCAATACAGTATAATTTTCTAAGTGCTAAAATTTCTCCAAATACTGCTTTTACATTATTAAATGAAATCAAAATCTCATTATCCTTTAACTTTTCATCAGAATTATCTCTTTGTTTTTCATCAGTTACTAAGATAAAAATATGGTCATCTATATCACACTTTGCATGTTCATTTTTTAAAAGATTTTTTGCTATAACATTTGGATTATTACCAATAATCTGCCTTTTTCGACTAGTTATAGATTGTTTATCTTGAATAAGAATAGGAGGTTCAGTAAGTATAAATGAATCTGCAAATGGAGCTTTTCCTTTGTTTTGATATGCAATACATTCTTTATAACGTT